GGCAGCAGATAGGAAGGCTAAGTGAGCACATAACCTTAATGGGCCTAAAGCCCATTTCGAACTGGGCTGATTTGATCAGTTAAATAAGGGGTGAATTCTGAGATTGGATTAGCAGATAGGATTGGGTCTTAACCCTATCCACTCAGAGAGTCCAGATCTAAATGWGATTCAGATCTRSAAACCTCCTAATGAGATTAGGAGAAGGCTGATCCAATTTGCAGATAAGATAAGGGTTTACCCTTATCACTTAAAGGGAATTCTGATCCAAATTTGATTTGGATCAGCAACTCCTAATGGGATTAGGAGCTGATCACTTTAAGGTTATAAAAGGAGGAAGGGGTGGCAGCCTTTAGAGATTGATGTACAATCAAGTTCTCACATTCTTTTCAGAGCTGAAATCACAGGAGAAAGAATTCAACAACCCTACGAAATTCTCTCTTGCCGCCTCCTTCTTGCCGCCACCTCACTTGCCAGTTCGATCTCCAGTTCAGTGGAAGAAATCAAGATTCGATCTTGACATCAGTTCCTTGTGAAGGGACTGATAGGAAGTTGTGCTCACGTGCCATCTTGCTAATTCTTGTGAAGGATTAGGTTCATTGGAAGAACACTGCTGATTCTGCTCCATCCTGCACTGCGCCATCTTCAGTGGGAGCAGTCTTTGGATCCTTCCTTGGGCATGAACACCTTCGTTGGGAGATATTATTTCTCCGTATCAGGTATATCCCTCTCCTACTGCTTTTGTTCAGATTTGGTTCAGTTTATGGTTCAAGATTGATCCTTCAAAATGTGATTTTTCTAAAATAGGGAATGTGATCCCCAGTTAAAGGGAAAAAAATTTTTGAAATTCACCCACCCTATTCTGCAAGATTTGGGCGTTCATGTGATGAATCTCTCATCCCTTCAAGTCATTCATCACAACTTCTATCTGATTAAGAAAGATAACATGTCAAAAAAAAAAAAAGCTATATGTGTTTTTTCTGGATTAAGTACCACTCCTAAACCATGGATTAAAACTTTGGTGGTTATCGTTGAAAACTGTCTTAGCAAAGTCATAGATGATGTACAAAGTTCAGACCAACTCCACAATTTTCACTTATTATGTGCTATATAGGGTGCTTGAAGTTCTACTCTTTTACTGGCTTTAACAAGTGTTCCCAAAATGTAAAAAATTCAATGTACTATGCTTGAAATATATAATTATTTGCTTTCTAGGGATGAACTGGAAATTAGATGTCTTTTAAACCGGATTCAGAGTCCTTGTTCTCTAAAAGAGGTTTATTTCCAATGGGATTTGTGAGTTTGTCAGAACAAACTCTCTCTAGCAGAACAATCCAAACTAAAGCTAGTGATGCTACAGTAGGAAAGTAACTACAAGCATTGCCAAACTAAATTCCATCAAGATGATTATTATGTCTTGGAAACTTTGTTTTATTCCCTAAAATTTACAGCCAATTTCTTATCATTCATATAGTCTTAGCAATAGAATACAAATAAACAACAAAATAATTTCTTCTGTTTTTTATTGGTAACAAGATGAAAGAGATTTTATTTAAAATTAAAGGTGGCAACCCTTCTAAAAAGTTTATGGTATAAAAAGATATTTTATTAAGAAAAGAAATGAAATGTAGGCAAAAGGAAAAACGTTTCAAACTAGATTTATTTTTTGGATCAATATATTTCAAACTAGAATTTGCTTTCTATGTATCAAGTGACTTGAAACTAAATCTCATTGTATCAGTAAAAGGAATGCATTGATCAGGTAATTGGGAAAGGCTTAGAGGAGTTTCAGACCAGGTAATTCATTGACACATCTTTGCTTCAGCCTAACCAAAGCTAACCTGAACAAGGAGAAATTTGAGAGTGCAAATTGGGAAAGCCCTGCCTTGCCTTTCCACCCATTTGGAAATAGAGTTTTTGGAAGCCCATTCTTGCAGAAGAATTCGCTCTCCTGTCATAACACAAATATTGAAATCAACTTCAATCCATTTGTCCACTTCTTGTCTCAGAAAAGAAAAATTTTAACTAAAACCCAATCAACAGAAGAAACATTTGAAACTCTTTATAGATATATATATATATATATATATATTTGGAACTCTTGATTTTTTATGAGCATCAAAACAACCTAAAATGCGAATGAAAACTAGAAAGAATCTAGTAATAGAAATCTGACTTCCAAAGCTGTCAAACACATCCAAAAATGGAAAAGAAAATAAGAACATCTTCTCACCTAAGATCCAAGAAAGGACGTTGTTGCGGTACCCAGTTGCTAGAACAACCGAATCAACATCAAGTTTTTCTCCATTGACAAGCTCCACACTATCATGATCGAACCTTTTGATTCCAGTGACGAGCTTTGAACCACCATGGATGGGAAGGCCTCGTGGTTGTAGAGATCAAGAGAGACTTCCATGCCGGAATTGCCACACCCAACAACTAGTACTCGCTTTCCATGGTAGTCCTCGCCAGACCTGTAATGATAGAAATGAAAAAGAGTGTGAGAGAGAGAATGAGAGGAAGAAGAAGAAGAATAGGAGAGGAGAGAGAGAAACATCGACGGTGACTTACTTGCAGTTGCCAGAGCTTCGTCCAAATCCGCTCTTCTTCTGCTGTTAGGAGAGAGGCGAAAGATGAGTGAGAGGGGTTTGGAATCGGGTAGTGAAAAGGGTTCGAGGGATTTAAACGTCAGTTTGCTTTTTGTTATTTTAAGAAATGGGAATGGGATTTTGATTCCTGTGGGATGGGTCGGGAATGGCCATTCCCTCAAATGGGGGATTGCCATTCCGCTCGGAATTGGAATCCGATTCCAATTCCGCCCAACCAAATGCTTGGAATCAGAATGATCCATTTCGATTGTGATTCCAAACCCTTATTCCTATAAACCAAACCCTTAGCGGAATGGGAATCGGATTCCAGTTCCGCCCAACCAAATGCTTGGATCCATTCCGATTCCGATTCCGGACCCTTATTCCTGCAAACCAAACGGACCCTTACTTACAATTCTTCTTCTTCAGCATTGTTTATCTTGGGACCCCATTAGACGTTAGTGACCGTGTCTCATGCTCCCTCTCTTTTCCAGACAGACTCTCTCTCTCTCTTTCAAGTTAATTAATGGTGGATTAGTACCTTGAAGGAATAAAATTAGTGGTATATACGTGCAGACCATCATGTTATCAAGTGCTTATAAAGTTTCTATGGCCAAAGAAATTAAAAAAAAATAAAGGAAAAAAGTTTTGGGCTTAATTTACTATACTCTTGCTCATTTATTAATCAAGTTGTTAATTAATTTACGTTGAATTGCTTCTTCCTTGCAGTCTTATCCGACGGTCACCGATCTCTTAAACTTCGGGTTCTACAAATGGGCCGGCGACGCATACATGTACAAAGGTGATCTACCTTACATAGAGCTCGTAACCTCCCCAAATAATCCAGATGGGTTTATTCGGGAAATGATGGTTAACCGGAGTGGAGGGAAGCTTATTCATGACCTGGCTTACTATTGGCCTCAATATACACTGATTACAACTCCAACGGATCATGATCTCATGCTATTCACCATCTCCAAAAGCACTGGCCATGCTGGGCCACCATCTCCAAAAGCACTGGTCATGCTGGGTCACAGGCAGATCATGATCTCCAAAATCTCATTCATGATCTCATGCTATTCTCAAGATCATGTCTGATGGTTGCAGACAATACTTCTTTGACTATGGAAGAAGCCTCAAGGCCAAGAGATGGGAGCGTTTGAGGAATGTTATTTGTGTCCGATTGAATCACCGAACTCGTGTTAACGGGCCTTTTACCGTGAATGTTATGCGTTCTCCCACCTGGTCGACGTGGTCAATTGTGATTCGTGTGTGCATTCATTCAGTGCAACTATGGGGTGAACAAAACACGGACTCTTCTTCTCCTGTTTCAAATTGCGCCGGAGGGTATAACAAACAGTATAATATTATTACTGTTTCGCTGATGTGGGGGGAGGTGTTGAAAAAAAATTCATATTTTTTTTTACCATAATCGATAGAAGTTTCGTATTCGATACCAGGCTAATTGAGAGCTGACCGAAAAAACAAATAATTAGTTATCAGGTAATTGCCATAAAAGTGGCATTGTAAGGGCTTTTTCCACACGATATGTTTTTCCATATTATAGTCGGACCCACATGTCTAATATCTAATATTAATATTATTAAAGGAAGTTCTTCTCGTTACAGCCCCCACCATTCAAACACTTGGCATTTTTTTTTTTTGGAAATTCAGATGTATCATTTTATGAGAAGTTGCTATTCAAGCCCACAACCTACTACCACCATTCAGATGTGGCCTTTTCATTTGTTTGGAAAACTAGATACATGGCATTTTCTAAGAAATTGTTGTTAAAGCCCAAAGCCCATTACCACCATTCAGACATGTGGTATTTTCTCCATTCAATTCTCCAACCTACTACTTAGGGTTTTATGCTATTTTCTCCATTAATTCCTCTTTCTTGTTGTAATTGAATCAGGTTTCATGAGATTTCAGATTTGTAATTAGTTCTCTAGGGTTATTCGATTGTTGGATTCATCTTTGATGTTTCTTGATTAGGGTTTGATTGTTAGAATAGCTTAGTCGAATTAATCTTAAATACTGGACTGTCTGAATTGCTTGATGAAGAATTTAGACAATCTGATTTCTGTTTGGTCAAACTATTCTTAATTCTTGGAGTTTCTAGATTGCTTGAGAAAGAGTTTAGAAATTCGGATCTGCTAATCAATAACCGAATTGAATACAATGTTAGAGATAACTTGTACAATTCGGTTGTTCTTCATTCAATTCTGCAATGATGCCCTATAACTCTTGACCTTAATGCAGGCATGAGGATTAGATTCTTGATAGAGATATATGAATAATCACTCATACATAGATTGAGCATGCGCTCGAGAGAGGTTGTCCATAACATTGGGGTTTCACCAAACCAAGGCTGAATTTCAATCCAATCGAATGACCCAGAGAATTAATTGTTGAACCAAATTTGTTCACATTTAGCTTGTCTTCTCAACTGCATGAAAGGTGTTTGATCCAATTTACTAGAGATAGTTTGTTAGTTAGGAATTCAGTTTTGATTAGGTTAACATTTCGGTTAATCAGATAATAGATGGCTGATATATTACTAGTAATTGTTGTATTAAGTCCTCGTGGGAACGATACTCTATTCATTACTTTATTTCTTGAGCGGATAGTGCACTTGATAGTGTAGCAATTACGCATCAAGTTTTTGGCGCCGTTGCCGGGGATTTATTACAGTAATATTAGGAACCATTTGCCATTGTTAATCTGATTTTTTTTCTTCTTGCTAATTGTTCTTTATATGTTTTCTCTTTTTCGGTAGTATTTAGTTTTTTTAGTTTGGTAGATTGCAGCTCTCTTCGTGTTTATCATTCTCTCTTCCTAGTTTTGTGTGGTTCTTAGCGCTAGAAGTTCCAAACAAAAGAGCCACTACAGATTTCAGAAGGATCTTCAGGGAAGTCCTCTAAACCCCTCTCATTACTTGATAATGCTCTTCAGGAAAAGACCCTCATTGCAGGATTCATCTTCACATTCTCTCACTAGGAACATTGAGGGCAATGTTCATCTTAAGTGTTGGGGAGTTAGGTTGTAGCTATGCACCTCAATTACCCCCACACATACATGCATTGATAGGCCGAATAAACTAAAATTCCCTCGAGATTATTGTTGTTCATAAGGTGAACTCTAAGAGGGAATACAATGAGTTGAGGGAAATCTTTGTAAGTGTGAGACTTTATTCTTGTGCATGATCCAATTTTATCACATTGCATGAGGTTAAGAAAGCCGAATAGGACTTACATCATGACCAGCCCTAAATTTCTTCATGTGTATGATGCACTTGACTAACATCTTAATGATCATTTGAGCCATGTTCACATTTGAACTGTTAATGCATGAGGTTCAACAATTGAAAAAGAAAAAACAAAAAAAAAAAAGAGAAGGGACAAATTCCAAATGACTCCGCTGTCATGAATTGAATAGTAAAACTAGCGGTTTATGTTATGAGTTCAGTCACAACTTCATCATTTCGAGCTGAATAGTAAAACTAGCAACTTGGAATATGAGTATTGTTATCTGCCTCTATCCTGTGACCAGTGTGAAATGGAGCATAAAATGCACTCACACCAAAAAAAGGGGAAAGAAAAAAATTTTGGTGACGGCTGAGGTTCAAAGGGACAAAATGTGGTTGAACACTCCATTAGGGGCAGTGACAGATTTGTGACCAAGCACAAAGTAATGGTTAAATTGGGCGGTCAAGGAGCTTATTTACATATTGAATGGAAGTGAATGTTGGAGCATGAAGAATTTCATATTCTCCCTTGCCTTAGCGGAGCTATTTCCACAATATAAGGAGTGTTAATGCATCGGTTAATAGATCTGCGCGACAATTACAGGCCACTCACACAAATTGTGGTGCACGGTTCGATGAGCTGCTCCCATGGCCGCGATATTGGCACCATCGAGGGTGGGGCGCGTGAATGGTTTAGGTGAGCTCACCTCGCTGGTTGCCCAAGCTCACCCTATCTCAGTTGTGTTGTCGATAATGTCCACGTGTCACTATTTGTGTTGGAGGATCAAAATGCCCTTCATCAAGATTAAAGCACCACAGATTCATGCACAAACCTTTGGCTTTGCATGTCTGTTGGGGAACCCCATACTGTAGCAAACCCTGTGCAATCATAGTACAACTAGAATCATCTCAATCCATCTTTCTAATATTTCCCCAGTGGAGGTTATTGAATAGGATTGAAGGTGAGAGTTTGGGTTAAGAAAGAGAAAGTTGATGGTGGGCCAACACTAGGAGTGTCCCTTTCCAACATCAAGTCCATAATCCTAACCCAATTTTGAGCACAACCCAACACCAAGTCCAAGGGTAAAATAGTGGTAGATTTACAAGGAACCATGTGGCAATGCACCAGAGAAGCAGTGATTTAAAGAGATAAGTAACATATTGTGCAACTTTTTATAGACTTGATCATGGTAAAAATAGCACAATTGATATTAATGGATGGGGAAATACAAAGGTGTTACTATGGATGATATTCTGTAGGACCTTTTGAAATAAAATTCATTAGTAAAAATTCCTTGCTTATAGACATCATTTTTTAGTTTGATTTTTTGAAATAATATTTGAATTTTAGGTCAAAGCAGGGGAGAGTAGAACCAAAAAAGAGATGTCTCAAATGTTATTATTGTTCGCATAGGACTATTGTTGTTTCTAGCCTTTGAATTTTCTAATTCTAACACAATTTAACTTTCTAATGGTAACCCCCATCAACATACTCACCACATTCCACAGCCCAAAAGGCAAACAACAACATATCAAATTTTAAAGAGATAAAAAAGCATTTTAGCAAGGAAATGAATAAACATTGAAACCAAAACTCTTGAAAAAAAGCAGTGATTAATTCAAAAAAAGACTAGATCAAGAAACCTRTCAATTAAAACTAGAGAAAGCAAATATATGTGAAATGCATTTAATAAAATGAAGAGATTAAAAAAACTACCAAACAATGAAACAATGACTACATCTCAGACTACATTTGTTAAAAAGAACATTACGGAAACAAAGAGAAACATTGGTCTAATTAGAGATAATCATCCACTATAGCAACTAATATATATACACTAATTCCAAAGACCACAATTAAGGACTCCAGGTGAGGGAGGTGACTTGTTTATTACCAAGGAGGAAGGTTGTAGAGGAATCGTATTCAATGACCCTCACAATATCAAGTGTAGGTCGATGATGTAATGCTTGGATTGGGAGCTGCTAGATGTTGGACACTAGATGAGGAAAAGCGATGTAGCCAGTAATTTCAAGTTCTTTGGTTACATCTCGGTGTAACCTTGAAACTTGATGGGAAATGGGATCACTAAGACTTGGAGGAGAAGCTCTAAGGCGCATATGAAGACATTAACTTTAGAACATTATTTGCCCCCACTCAGTTTCAMTAAGTCTGCCGTTATGTTACAAGTAAATCTGTTCCTACGATACAACAGAGCCTTGGGTGAGAATCTGAAACCAACAAAGTTGAAGAGTTTCCATAGAAACCTTCTGTGAGATAGCAACAAATCGAACACAGAGAGAAACAAAGCGAATTTCAAAACTTTTGTTTGCAAATGCTTGATTCACGCTCCTTAAATAGTTTCTAAAGAGTTATGGAGCAGTAGGAGGTGTTGGTTCAGAGAAAGGCACCTTGAATAGTCACAATTTCAAACATTGTGACTATTTAAAACGTAGTTAACAATTAATGATTGTTAATTTTGAATTGTGTCTCTTGATCACACCCAACGGAATTGTGATTGTTGATCACATCAATGGTCAGCCTCATACCAAAAGCCAAACCTGTCGTTGAGCCATGCGGGTGTGCGCAAAATGCGCCTCATTGCGTCGCACACACGTGTGTGTTGCGTTGCGTAGTAGCAAGCCTCCACACTCTCCTCTTTTATATCTAAGGAGTGTAAATCATCTCCTATTAAAAACCCAAAACAATTCTTCTAATTTTCCAATGTGGGATGAGTTAAAAACTGGTTTACTAAGAGAAAAATTGTTTTTGAAAACATGTGTATAGGAGTGTTTTTTTTTCATGTAATTAATCAATCAAACCCCATTGGATTTAATCTCTAATGATATT